GTGTTACCGTTAGTTTTTTTCGTTAAATATAACAAAAGGTGTACTCTCTCAAATTGAAAGTGGGCAATTCAAAAGTCTTAAGTCAAAGCAAATGTCAATAATACCCTCATATTCATCTTATTATCCAAATTAAATCTTAATCCTAAACCCTAATTGTCATCTTTTATTCAAAAAAATTAATTTAATTTATTTTAATTTAAAATGTTATTAAATAAGAAATTTGGTTAAAAATTAAATAGTAGATTAAGGTAATTTTATGGTAATAAATTAGAGTAATTAGGTTAATTTATGGTTTAATATATATATATGTATATATATGTAAACATTAAAATTAAAAATTAGAATAAGGTAATTTTATGATAAAAAATTAAGGTACTTAGGTTAATTTATTATTTAAGTTGTTAAATATATATATTTATATGTTTAATTTAAAATGTTATTAAATAAGGTAATTTTTATAATTAAGGTGTTTAGTTTAATTTATGGTTTAATTTAGTAAATATATATATCCATATGCTTAATTAAAAATGTTATTAAATAAATGTTAATAAATAAGGTAATTTTATAATAATAAATTAGGGTATTTAGTTTAATTTATGATTTAATTAGTTATATATATGCTTATTTTAAAATTTTATTAAATAAGAAATTATATTAAAAATTAGATTAAGATAGTTTTATGGTAAATTAAAGTGTTTAGGTTAATCTTCCGGTTTAATTTATGGTAATGTTTTGTTTAATTTAAAATATTATTGAATAAGAAATTGGGTTAAAAATTAAAAATTAGATTAAGATAATTTTATGATAATAAATTAGGGTGTTCAGTTTACTATGATTTTATTTGTTAAATATGTGATTGAGATAGAAACATATATATATATATATATTAAAGAAGAGAGAAAGAATATATCATAGGGGTATTTAGGTAATTTTGTCATTATTTTTAGAGGGCTTCTATTTATTCCTACCTTTCTTCTTAAAACCCCCCACCTCTTTCATTTTTTTTAATTTTTTTATTTCCAATTCTATCCCAACATAAAATTCCACTTTGACTCTCATCTTTCATCTTCTAACCCTAATTTTTCAAACCCTAACCCTAAGCCCACTCAACTCTGGCAACCACCTCCACTCGCTGTTGGCTAGCTCCTTACTGCTAGTCGCCACCTCCGTCTCCTTCTTCTTCTTCTTCTGAAATTGCGATCTCCACTGTAATCACGATTTCCACTCCTGCCAATCGCGAACCCCACCGTCACTGCAATCTCTCTCTATCTCTCTACGCATGGTTGGGTCGTTAAAGTTTGGAGGCGCGATGGCGATGACAACGCAATGGGATCTGGGTTGCTCTTGATGAAGATGAAGATCTACAATCTCTCTCTCTCTCTCTCTCTCTCTCTATATATATATATATATGCGCATGGTTAGATCGATAGGGTTTGGAGGCGTGATGGCGATGGGGACGACGACGCGACGGGATCTGAGTTGCTCTTTGATGAAGATGAAGATCTGGGTTGATCATCTACGAAGAGAAAGATTTGTGTTTGAGAAGGCGATGGCGACGGCAGTGGAGTTATGAACTAGGAAGGCGATGGTGGCAGAAGAGCAACGATGGTGGCCAAAGGTGATGAGTTGGGGGTTTAAAGAAGAGGGGTATAATTTGGATTATGGTGGGGGTTCAAAGAGAAAATGGGAGAGACTTAATTCAGTGGGTAGGGGTTCAGAGCAGTGGGGGTTCAGAGCAGTGGGGGTCCAAAGAGATAAGGCAGGAGTAAATAGCAGCTCTCTATTTTTAATAGAGTTAATTTTGCACTTTAGTCCAAAACCATAAGGAGGTTCTTTGCCTACATTTGAACCACAAGGAGGTAAGTGCTCCAAGGCAAAAACCACAAAGGAACTAAAGTGAATTTTGCTTGAAATTTTAATTACAAATTTATTAAAAATTCTATCACTTTAATTATTAATATTGATAAATTTTATAATTAATTTGTATTTTTTTTTTAAATTACACTGATCTATAGTTTTATGGCAAAGATCTCTCCACACCAAGGAACCAAATTACAACGGATCTAAACCCTCCATTTCCTTCCAATTAGTGAGATTCTATCTCTTACTAAAATTTGGTTATCACAGCTTTATTATTTTTGTATTTAAATATTACGATTTTATATATTTATTTATCTTTCATATTTTATTTTATTATTATTTTTTTTTGTGCTTTTGGTGGGAATAAATATTGAGTGCAATGATAACATCACATGCCAATAAACTATTAAAAATGGAATTAGTTAGATAATATTGCCATGTAATATCACTATTATATCCAACATTTCTTTGTTGGGCTCAGATGAGAAAATATGACCATTAGAAAAATATGTCCAGCGAAAAAATAAGATCGTTACCAAATATATATATATTAACATTGAAAAAGTATTTGAAAAAGATATAAACAAAATAATATTTTCAAAGAAGATAGTTAAAATAATATTGTTGGAATTTGAAATATATATTGAGAAAGGAGTTATTACTAAAATAGGAAAGTGAGTTATTTGAGTAGCTATTTTTAGCTAATGTTGTTGTAAGAGCTCTCACAAGGTCCAACAAGATTTAGAGCTAATATGGCTAGACCCTTGGAGCTTATTGTTGGAGGTCATGGCACAATATGATTGTTTTGTCTTATTGGCTACTGTCACAGGGCTAATGTCCAGTCTATAAAATTTTCCTGCAATGACACGAAGTCCCAACACTTAGTCTCAACCAATGTATGCAACTCACACATACAAGTTAAATTTCTTCAAGTGTACAAGTCAAGCAACACAGCAATTACGGGAAAACCCAACCTTTATTATTGCACCAACAATTACAAAGGAAAGTCGCAAGCCAAATGTCAAACTCTCAAACACTTGATTAATTCGAGTTTGTATGGCTATGCCTATATATAGGCTATAATCAAAATATTTGAAATTCAAACAGGCTACAAAACTTAAAGGACACATGCCATCTAGCATGGCAGTTGACACCCTATGAAAAGGTTAACACATATTTGAAAAAAGCCTACAGAAATAACTGTCACGAACTGCTCCTTTATTTCAGCCTTCCTTGTTCCTTGCCAGCATGTCTGGTTCTGTGCATAACTACCCACAGCTGCCCCTATATTTTAGGAAGCCTTTGTCTTGCCTTAGACAATTTCAAATTTCTCAAGCCACTAGCCAAACAGAGCGCGGAGTGCCATCTGTTGGCCTTGGTCAAGTCTAACCACCTTGATACTCAGCCAAGTTGTACACCACGCCTTACTATCTACCCAAGTCAAGCCATCTGATTATGTTAAATCCCTAAGTATGCTGTAGCCTAGCAGTAATGTCACATTAATGTCTTGCACATGCTTTGCTGTCCATACTTTGGCCAAGGGTTGAATGTTGCCACCGAATGGCACAACTAATTGCCCACCTTGTTGTCTTGGCATGCCTCCCTCATGCTGCGGTCCAGGCTTGACAAAGGTGCAAGGTGCCACCAAGTGTCAGGCTGCCAGCTCCCAAATATTAAGGTTCTAACAGACCACCCACACCGGAAGAAGCCAATGTCCTCGTTGGTAAGGTCTTTAAGCACTCTTCGACTTGTTTTTCAAACTACCAAAATGTTACATCATTTTTCCAACTTGCATTAGATTCTGGGGAACCCTTCTACTTCACCAAGTAATGGGTCCTTCGATTCTTTTTGTTTGCCTCTCGATCTTGTGATCAAGAATCCATTCTACCTCTCTATCAAACTATTTTCTGATCACTGGAAGTGCCCTCTGAGCCTGCATCGTTGTCAAGTTACTCTCTTTTCCCAAGTGGTGAAATCCCTATTAGAACTCCCCAGTTAAGCGTGCTTAGGCTGGAGTAGTTCTAGGATGGGTGACCCACTGGGAAGAACAAATCCGTGCGGGCATGACCCAAAGCGGACAATATCGATGACGTGTAAAGGGTCGGGGCATTACATGCATCGTTGTCAAGTTACTCTAATACTTATGAAAAGGTTTTAGAAAACTGACATGGAAAGTTGGGTGGATTTTTAACTAATCAGGCAACACTAGCTTGTATGTAACATTTCCCACACATTTTAAGATTTCAAAGGGGCCATTGTATTTCGGAATTAGGCCATGGTGCATTGCCTTACTGCTTATCTTCTTCCAAATTTGAGGAGTAAGCTTCAGTAGCACTTTGCCACTTTGAACTCTAAGGATCTTCTCCCTTTGTCAGCATACTTCTTCATTCTTTTGCTTGCTTTAGCCAAACTATCTTGTGCTTCCTCCTAAAACTCTTGTTTAGCTTTTGCAAAGCAGTATGCTGCTAGACATCTACTACCAGAGCCTATTTTAGCCACTTTATGAGGAGTTAGGGGCTGCTGCCTCGTGGCCAACTGTAATGGACTTATCCCGCTTGCAGGTGATCTATGCCAATTGTAACAAAACTGTGCACTATCCATAAATTCAACCTAATTCTTTTGACTTGCGGTCACATGATGTTGGAGATACTCTTCAAGCAACCCATTCATCCTCTTAGTCTAGCCATCCGTCACAGGGTGATTTGCTATGGAGAACTTTAATTTGGAACCCAACAAATTAAAGAGCACATTCCAAAATATTCTCGTAAACCGACAAGACTAAGTATTTCACAACATACTTGTAAAACAAATCAGCAACAATATCAGTGGGACAAGCATGAAGAGCAAGAATGAATACAACATACTTGGAAAAACGGTCAACAACTACCATGATGGAACGAGATAAGAGTGTTATCTCTTGACATAGGCCTCTATATCATCTTCCATTTACGGCCAAACATATGAACGAGATAAGAGTGCCATCATGCGTTGCTATCCCGAATGACTAGCACATTGCAGATCATGGGTCTCTCTAAGAAGTTCCAATCTCAGTCCCCCCTATACTATGGACATATAGTCTATCTCTTTTGCCATGAAGAAGACCATTTTCAAGCCAATACTGACGAACAATAATCTTTTACTTGATGCACCAACCGTTGATACTTTGAGTCAATTGCAGTACTATCCCTAATCCTTTCCAGCAATTGTGTTTCAATGTTGGAAATAACAGCCATGTATTCAACTATCTCTTTCCAGCTTAACGCATCAGCAACTAAGTTGTGTTGTCCAAGCTTGTGTCTCCACTCAAAGTCATATTCTTCAAGGAATTCCTGCCAACGGGCCTGCCTTGGAGATAACTTTTTCTGAGTTTTGAAGAATGTATTGGCCACATTATCAATAATAACCAAAAATCTAGTCCCCAATAGATAAACCCTCTAAGTGAGAAGGCAATGTACCACCACCGTCATTTCCTTCTCATGGGCTGAATAATTATTCTCAGCAACATTCAATTTTCTGCTTTCAAAGGCCATAGGGTGTCCTTTTGCATCAATACTCCTTCAAGCACTTTGTTTGAGGCATTCGTGTGCACTTCGAAAGGCAACTCAAAATTGGGGAGTCACAAGACTGGTTCACTTGCCACCGTACCTTTCAATTTGTCAAAGGCCTCTTGATAACTAACGGACCAATGTCATTTGTGATATTTCTTCAGCAAATCAGTGACGGCAGTAGCCTTTTTTGAATACCCCTCGATAAATTTCCTATAGTAATTTGCCAAATCCAAGAAGGATTCCAATTCCGCAACATTAGTGGGTGGAGACCATTCCGTAATAGCCTACATCTTCTTTCCATCCATTTTGATGTGGCCTCGGCAAATAATATGCCCAAGAAACTTAGGCTGCATTTGGTAGAGCTTTCTAAATATGATTTGAGAGTAGGTGTTGTATTTTGAGTTTGTGAGTTTTGGAATTATAATTTGAGTGTGAAAAATTTGTTTGGTGAAAGAGTTTTGAATTGAGTGGGGAATTTTTGATGTGATATATGATATTTGATACAAAAACTTACAACTCATAACCAAACACAGAACTCAAAATTCTATTAAAGCGCATAAAATATTTTAAAAAATTCAGAAAATATTTTTTTCGAATATATAAAAATTAACGTGTCAATTGTGCGCGCACACACACACACACACACACACACAAATTGCTCTGTTCCAGTCAACCGGCCGGATGACCGGTTAGCCCAAATTTCCCTGCCTTTGATCGACTTTTCAAAATTGAATGTGGAATTAACTTTTGAAAATCGTAAAGAAACGTCATGTGCAAAATAAGCCATGGAACTAACGTTCCAGAGCTATACCAAACAAGCCTTAATCTCTTTTTGAGCAAACTCACACTTCTCCTTTACATAGAGTTTATTTTCTCGCAATAGGGAGAATACTTTTCTGAGATGGGTCAAATGGTCTTGTAATGTTTTACTATAGATTACAACATCATCCAAGTAAACAACTACAAACCGATCAACATAATCATTAAAGACATCATTCATTAAATTACAAAAATGTCACAGGAGCATTGGTAAGGCCAAAAGGCATAACTAAAAATTCAAAAGAACCATATCTAGTTACACAAGTAGTCTTTTCTTCGTCCCTTTTCACAACTTGAACCTGACAGTAACCTGAATGAAGGTCCAACTTTGTGAAGAAAGTGGCCTTGCTAAGACGGTCGAATAGGTTAGCCACAAAAGGGACAACGTACTTATTTTTGATAATCACCTTGTTTAGGGACCGATAATCCATGCACATCTGCAACGATCCATCTTGCTTTTTTTGGAATAACACTTGGGCACTATAGGGGGCTTTGGATGACTGGACTAAACCGCCTTCGTACAACTCCGACAATTGCTTCCTTAGTTCAGCAAATTCCAATGACAACATTTGGTAGGGTGCCTTCACAAAAGCCTTAGCGCCAGACACTAATTTGATTTTGTGATCAGTAGTGTAGACACCCTATTTTCGACCGCCGATAAGACTTGGGCATCTCAGATTACTCATCCAATGATGAATTTATATGCTGTGCAAATGCTCGATTTCCTCAGCAAGAAGCCTTAGCTTTGAGTCTCAGAAGCTTACAAACTTTGCATCACTTTTGGACCAAAACAGTATTTTTCCAAGCCTAACCACTCAGAGTTCTGCAGGCCAACTAGTGGCCGACTGGCCAAAAATGAATGGCTGGCCATCTCCCTAGTGGCCGGCCAGCCAGTTGTTCCAGTAAAACAGATATTTTCTTACCAGTTGTGCCAGCTATTTAAACAAGTGCATGCACTGCACTATCTATGTCTATACTGATATTTCCAAGGTAATAACATATTTTTCTATATATACTTGACCCTCACTCTAGAATTTAGGTTCAAAAAATTTTGTGAAGCAAAATTCTTGAAAAATATTTATCTCTCTCTAACTTGCAACCTATATATACCTTACCTAAACTCCCTAAACCAAATTTTGAGGCTAAGGTTACTGAACTTGAATTTTAGCTCTTGAGGATGGGAATTTGTTGGTTTGAAACCCAAAGTGTTACTCCTTTTCAAGAGGTATAACCCCTAGCTTTTTTACACTACTTCTTTCCTATCTTTTCTTACTGTTTTTAACTGTTTTTACGGGCTAAAACTTGTGGTTTGAAGTTATTAAAGGTAAAGGGGTTAATCACTTATTCTTTGAACCTTGTCTCCCAAGCTTTTGCCCTAGTATTTCCCATCTCTTCTTCAACTTTTTTCTAGCTTTTTACCACTATTTTTTTAGAAATTTCCAGAGGCTAAAATTTTTGTTTTGAGGTCCCAAAAACGGAGGGGTTAGCCACCCCTCGTTATGCTTGTTTACTAGCTCAATTTCTCCATTGTTTTAGCTAACTTTTTCACGCTTTTCCATGTTATTTCCAGCACTATTTTTAGCTATTTTAGGACTGGTTTAGGTTTTTTTTATTTCATTTATGGTTTGTATAGTAGGCTTGTAGTGTAGCGGTCCTCATAGGTTTGGTGGTTTAGGCCTTAGCCACCAACCTATTTAAGTTGATAGCATTTGTTTCATACTTTTCATACTTATGTTCATACATAATCATCTCTGCACTCTCCCTCTTTTCTTGACTTTTTGTTTCTTTGAGGGTTGTTTCAAACAAGTGTTGTTTAAACATGAGAAAGATACCTTCCATGCTAAATGGTTTAATCTCTTCGGAGGTTCATTACCAAGGTATTACATCTCTCTCATGCCTAAAACAGCTTCTTGTTTGACACTTCCCTCTTTTTAGTGGACTTAATTCTCACTTTTGGACTAAAATGACTAAGGAATGGAAAGGTAATTAAAAGAGATAATGAACTCGGACTAAAATGGAACAAGATAATAAAATGGTATGGGTTTAATCGGACGTTAATTGAACTCATTGAGTCTTGAAGCATTTCATACTCATTAGTGATGATAATGGCTTAAGATTCAAGGTCAGTCACTTTCCTTGATCAATGTCATGATAGGAAATAGGTTTTGTGGGTTTTTCATTATCATTTATTGAGCTTTTGCTCCTTGATTCATGAATCATCACATAATGATTTTGCGTCGATTGATGGTTTGCGACTCAAGCCTACCCCTCCTTTGATCTATTTGATGACACGGAGAGGCAGGACGGACAAACATCCCCTGAAAATACTCTGTTTGTGCTCTGTTTCATGTCTATTATAACAAGGCAGTAACAAAAACTAATGGCCGGCTAGCCACCTCATTGTACAGTCGACCATTTTTTCTGACCAGCCGGCCACCTTTTTTCAGCTAGGCAGTGTCTTTTTCCTTGCAAAACAGAGCAGAGGCTAGGAAAAAACAGTTCAATTTTCTAAATGCAAAACAGAAGCATTTTGGCAACCAAACAGAGGGCATTTTCGGGTGGAAATCCGCATTTACACATGACCCATTCCTTTTTCCTCAGGACCCGTTAAAATTATGTTTAATAGTAGTTTGTTGTACCTAAAGTAGGGGACTTGTATAATTTAATTATGTAGTTGATTAAATTCTATATTGTAACTAATTAGTTAGTTTGTATTAATTAGCTAGAATAGCTAGTTATTTTTTTATGTTGTACTTAATTAATTAGCTAAAATAGTTTGATAATTTGTGGTGTTGTAATAAATAACTTAATTAGCTAGGACATTCATTTGTACCCTCTTGTGCGAGGGCAAATATGTAATAATGTGTATATGTCTTCCAACCCCCATTCTTTCTCCCTTTTATTTACCTACTTAGAATTGATAACATAGAGCATCATGTTTAGTTTAGCATGTTCCATGACTTGCATTCATTTGCCTCGTATGCATAGGGTTCAGTTCATCATTCTAAACAAACATGGTTATTTATTACTTCATTGAATACGTGCGCTACCGCATGCCATTAAATTGATTCACATGCAATATTAGTAGCCGAGCCTATTAATTGCATGTTGTATGTGTTTCATTAGTCATCTTGCATAGTAGAGCATGCATTTTCTAACTATTTTTTTTGTTTCTTTTGGCTCACCTTGGAGTACTAGGTAAGCGTTTTCACCTTAGCATGTTGCATGCATGTGATTGTTTCCATGTCAAGCATGATTACCATAGGCTATATACTTAAGTGATATACTTGTTTGAATGCCTGTAGATGAAGGCTAATTGGTTAAATTTGGATGGTTTGATTAATGTACATATCTGATCACTTTTTCAAGTGGTACATGTTCAAACACTTTTCAAAATAAACATAAGATCAAAATATTCCAACTTTTGCAAATTAGTCTATACTTGTGTGCAACACATAGTAAATTAGCCTAACAACTGGAATAAGAGCATATAATGTAAATAAAAATCATATCATCATTAGTAGAGGCTGATCTTTGATCGGGTGAGTAAGGTGCTCAATTCATTACCTTTCCCTCTTATACCTAAGTTCCCCGAGCCAAGACACTTTGTTGATGACGGACATGTAGCCTTTGGTACAAGTCTCGAATTTCTTAAATTTTCCAAAAATATTTAGGTGGCGACTCAAAAATCTGGCAAAGCAGTCCATTTTTGGCATTTTGATTCAAAATTGATTTTTCAAAAGATTTGTCAGATTTGGACTCATTTGCGTTTATCTATTTCACATTGCACTTGTGAAATTAAATTCAGAACTGCAGGCTATCATATTTGAAAGGAGTAGAAAAGCAAGCTATAGTTTCTGGCGACTCCACTGGGGATTTAAAGAACTTGACTTGAAATTCATGATGTGAAATTTTATTTACACATATATGCTCTTTGCATTGCATTTGCAATGGTACTCTAAGTCATTGTGTTTTCCATCGCTATTCCTGGATGGTTTGCAAGAGGCTTTCCTAAAAAGCTTGCCAAAAGGATAACCAATCATGGGCTCTGCCATGTTGGAAACACAACTCCCGAATCTAGACTATCGCTGTACCATTTGATCCTCATTTCACTTCTCAGTGTTAGGTGTGAGAGGTATATTAGGTAATCTAACTGAGGTACCCTTTTTACCAATCGGCCTAGTTGCATATAGTAAAGCCATAGTGACTATTCCAAACTAGGATAGAATGCTCACCCCTATGTAGGATTGCGTGAAATCGCTTGATTGAAGTAGTGAATCCTAGTTCATGACAAAACTAGGACATGGTAGCCCTAACCCCTCATATAGGTGTTTTGGTTCTCTTTTAACTGGTATGTGCTTTATAGTGAAACTGTACAGGAATGTTCATATCAGTGGAGGGGTTGGTATCTATTTTGGATGCAGAATTCAGAGTGGAGTATAGTCCTATAGCTTTGATCATGTCTGTGTTGATAATATCTTAGCTGAGGTGCTGTACGGTTTCTGATTACTATTCTCTTTCTTTATTTCTTTTTGCTAAGTAGTTTAAAACCGTAGCTTTAGAAGGTTTTGATATCCCCCCAATACTCTAGACCTACGTCGGAAGACTTTGCAAGGTCAGAGATCTTGTTTAAGGATAGCCTGTGTTTGCCTCCCTGTTACCAATTGCAAGGCGAAGGAGGATAAAGCAAAATTCACCAGTCTAGTTATTACAACGATCACCTCTTAGTTCACCTGTATTTAGTCTGGTGTAAGAACAGTCATCTACTTCTAGTCCAGCCCAAGAACAATCACCTATTCCAATGGCGCAGTATCCCCCAACAAATATGGAGGAATTAATACTCTATCTACAACAAACAGTTGAGACACTACAGCATGATGTGGCTCGTCAGGCCGAGCTCATAACTAGGTTACAGCAATAGCAATCGTAACCGATTACAACCTCTGTATCACATGTACCCACCGTGGCTATCCCAGTGCCCAGTGCCACTACTAATACTACCACTGCTCAAGATTCACAAACCGAGGGTGTTCCAGTTTTCCCAGTCCAAACAGAACCCATCCCAGCACAAGCTTCCAGAGCCTTGGCTTATTAAATCGAGGCACCATTCGAATTCAAGGATGACCCAACTACACTCAAAATCAACAAATTGGAAAAGTTGTTCAAAAAGGCGGAAGGGGTTAACTCTATGCCTGACATAAAGGATGGGTATACCGAATCTACGGTTACATTACCAGAGCGGTTTAAGATGCCGCACATTGACCACTTTGATAGTTCTGGAGACCCAATAGTTCACTTACGGTTGTTTTCAGATGTCCTGCGGCTGATGGGTTTGATTATATTGCGAAAGCTATCTCTCTTTGGTCGCACTATGTTAGGTATAGCGGCCATTTGGTACGTCAAGTTGGAAGATTCTACAAAATAGAACTGAGAGGAATTAGTTAAGTCCTTCATTACTCAGTACTCTTATAATATGCAAATCGAGGTCACAACTCATGATCTTGAGGGGACGCGTCAAGAGCCAATGGAAAGTTTTTCCGAGTTTGTGACAAGATGGAGGGCCAAAGCA